AATGCGTTAATTAGATTAATTCATTACGATGAAAAATAATGTGTTCAAATTATTAATGCATTTAACGCACTTGCCCCGGCCCAGAACTATGTGGGTCATCTGGCATTTCATAAAGTCAATTGATGACAAATATGAGGCAGGGCAACAACTCACTGCGTGATGGAGCCTAGAGAACGTAGTTAGAATGTCCCTAAAATTCAAGATAAGGGGCAAAAATGCCCGTTTGAGTTTTTGTCTCATATTTACATCATACAGTTAAACAATATCAGATGAGCAATAAGCTAAGTGCAATATCACACGCGTGCAAATGTGATACTGATCTTATACAACAGTTCAGTAAGTAAGAAGTTAATATTGTGTTATTTTAGACACATTGTTGTCTGTTTTGCTCAATTTTGCCAATGAATATATAAATACAAAGCATAACTGTTCGTCTCCGTCTCCGAGCAACACACAGTGGCATTTCATTTCTTAATGCACGTTTTGAACAAATTGGCTGAACCATTTGTAATAATAATATAGTAATAATAATACAATTTATAAAAACAATTATTAAAGGTATAGTTCACCCACCCAAAAATGACAAATGTGTCATCATTTACTCACATTCATGGTCCAAAATAGTATATGTAATAAATTTTATCAAACAAAATATTTCTTGCTGAAGCTACTTTTTGTAATGTAAGTTTGATGCTTTACACAACAATGACGTTAAATGTTCTTTTGGGAGTAATTTCTCAGCCAAATCTGATGTGCGACTAATTTGCGATTAATTAGATTAATTAATCGCTACAACATATAATTAATTAGATAAAAAAATATTATCACTTACCAGACCGAGAATTAAATCTAGAGTATGATTTCGACAGTGAGTAGGTCCTGACACATGTTATCTAACCCCAATAGAGTTCAGAATGTCTATGAATGTTGATCCCAATGCATCTTTTTCATTATAAACATGGATATTAAAATCACCAACAATTAAAACTTTATCTACAGCCAGCACTAGCTCGGATATATAAAATCAGCACATTCTTTAATAAAGTGTGTGGGGTGCCCTGGTGGCCTGTATACAGTAGCCAGTACAAACATCACAGGGGATTTATCATTAACACTTGTTTCTCTGGACAATATTATATGAAGCACCATTACTTCAAACAAGTTATAATTGAAGCGTGCCCATCTGCTTTACTTATTATATTATTACTTATAGTAAACTGATTTATTGTTTATTTTGGCAAATCTGCTTCTTCCACACAGAAATTAATGTTCAGTGAAGCTCCTCACAACAATCACACATTCAGCAATTCAGCAGTAAATGCTGGAATATCTCCATTAGTTCACAAGTGAAGACCAACATCAAAGCATCAGGAAGAAATCTGCAAAGACTGAGTTTATTAAAGAGGACAGAGAGAAGATGAGTGATCCAGAACCCTGCAGAATCAAACACACTGAAGATACTGAAGAACTAACAGGTTGGTGTTTATTCTTCTTCATTAATAATGCTGATGGTTATAAAGTTTCAAGTAGCTTTAGAGTGTTTGTGTTGTAATTGGACAATTCTGTAGAGCTCTGCAGTAATATAGCTAAATAATCAAATAACAAGGGACACTTTCTGTAAACGGAGTACTTTTTTCAACAAAATGATTTGTTAGATAATTGTGTGGTTGACCAAACATGTTTAATAGTTGTCCCTATAGAAACATGGGATTTGTGCCTATGTTTTAAAAATCATAATTTGAAGATCAATGTACCTCATCCATTGATGAATGAAAAAGTTTCAGAGATGTATATATAAAATGTACTAGATGTATTTATAAAACTGCATCAAAATGCATAGCAATTGTCTACTTTCTGCTGTTACATCATGGTTCACGTTTATGTATTTTCACATTTCTATTTTTTTAAGAGTTAATGAAAATAAACCATTTTTACTTTTATTTCAGAGTTGACTGAAGAAAGTGAGGAGAATGAAGAATTGAGTGAAGTTGAGGGAAAAAATCATTTCAGAACTGGAAAAAAACCTTTGAGTTGCTCTCAAGCTCAGAAAGATTTAAAGAAAAGAAAAGGAAAAAAATCTTTCTCCTGCACTCAGTGTGGAAAGAGATGGACATGCAAA